AAGTTACATGTAGGGATTTTGTAATATTCTTCCAAAACATGTTTGGATGAAATATCTTGTGATGTTTGAATGAACTAATGATTCCTTTGTACTTGTTGAATGCATGATTTCGAATTCCAAATACAGTACATTCGTAAGTGCTTATTTAATACTTGTGTTATTTCTGGGATTCTTAGTTCATACTATAGTTCAAATACTATTAATCTTCAGCTGTTTCTGAGCTTTTTAGAGCTTCCTCTAGTTTACCCTTGGACCATCCTCACAATTGTATAAGATTTATATTATGAAAGAAGTAGATCTTAAAGTTTTGTTATCAGGTAGTTAGTAGATACAAAGTAAATCTATCCAATTAAGAAATCTATTCAAATATGCTTAAATTTTCAAAGTTAATAGATATTATGAGTTTTAAACTTAACTCTGTATTTTTAAAATGAATCAGTTATGAACACAAAGATATTCATAATTGATTGATCATTGGGTGCTGATCAATGTCATGTATGTCAGGTCCTTCTCAGTGCAAATCGAATTCTATTGATCAAGTTGCAACGTGGTCACTAATCTAGGTGACTCGATATTATGTTCACTATGTTGGGATGAGATGGTGGTTGGAGGTAGTCGGCAGGAAACTGTGAACCTAGGTTTCATGATATTTTGGTACATGTCAGCAAGGTGTACTGACACACATGATATTGATCACTACCCAGTGACCAATCAATTGTAAATATATCTCGGCCCTACAGGAGGTCGGTCGCGGCCCGGATTGCCCAGTGATAACGTCTCCGGCTGTGAAGCTGAGTGACACGGCAGCATTAGTTTCCTCAAAATTACAGGTACACCTTGCTGATGAGTGGCCAAAATAGCACCAAATCTATGTCCAGGGTTTCTTGTTGACCACCTCCAACCACCATCTTAACACAAAGTTATTTCTATATTAACTATAAAGTGAATAGTTTACTTGAAGTCCATTGGAAGGACTAGTGATCTAATACAATAAGACTGAATGATAACTAATAGAGAATAAAACTTCAGTGATGAAAATGATACACGTAATAAGAGAAAAATGAGTAGTTTTTGCAAGCGAACATTTTTGTTCCAAGATAGATGAGTAAAATCTTAGTATATATGGTATCTTACACATTAAATAATGGAATTGAGTATGGATTTTTTTCGCATTGACACTCTGAAAGAGTCACAGTAATATTAAGGTGTTAAAGATAACCATAACAAATATTATTCTCCTCAAACCAATAACCCAGAAAATTACTGATTTGTGTCATCTCTGACAATAGTTCATTAATTGACTATTGATTTAGATGCCATATTTCAGATATATACGAATATTTAACTTGGTGATTGTTGATAAAATTCACTAACGAGGTTTCTTGAGGAGATCTGTATTGCTTGAAAATGACTCCTATTACACACTGAGGTTCTATCCTATGTGCATTTATTGGTGTACATCACCGAGAAATTTTAAATTAGAATGAAATATCTACATATTTCTTTTTCACTTAGAATGGTAATGTTAAGCCTACGCATAATCGGTTCATTCCATGACTGTATAGAGTCATATCTCAGTCCAGAATTAGATGAAGCCTTGTTAGCCTTTCATAGCTCTGAAACTAAGCTCCAGTCGAAACAAGTTTATGTTTCGCGTAATTTTTGCCGAGTAAGCTGAAGGGACTCTTATTTAGAAGAAAGTTTGAGCAACACAGCGAATACAAGTGTATCAGAGTCAAGGGAGGTATATAAATGCTTCTGAATATGGATATTACCTTCCGAAATCGTGGATAAAGATAAATGATCATTATAAACACTCAACTTAATAGGATCGGAATTACAAAGTTTAGTACTACTTGCAGAGAACCGAAGAGTAGTGTTACAAACTGCTTGTATATGTCTGATTTTACCACATTTAAGACATTTTGCATGGTGAAATACACATGAATTACATGAGTGAAATTTACTACAGAATAAGCATCTACCAAACCTATGCTCTGTAACCTGCTTTCCATCTCCTCAATGAATTGTTATCTGCGTGACTTTGATCACGCATTAGATCAGGATAACTAAGTGGTGTGGTAGAATTCTCGATGTTCTGGCCAATCATTCTATGAAATTTTGCTCTTTGATGGCATTCGAAATTAGTACACTTTACATGACTTAGTAGCAGTTCTTTGAGAATTGTATAGGGAAGTGAAATAAGCTCATCTGGGAATGTCAGAGTTTTCAGTAAACTGTAGGCATCCTTTCCGATGAATTTGAAGAAATGAGTCACAATTTTATCATCCTTAACATTTTTCTTGGTCAACCAACAGATTTCAAACCTTTCTATATGATCTTCTAAAGCTTCAGAATTCGAATGTATATCCAACTGTTTAATGACAGACTCCATCACGACTCCAATATGATGTTTAGAAGTAATCGAATTAATGTACTAATTAGGAGTGTCCGAAATAGTGAATTTACAGCAAGTAGAACTAGATGAGCACAAATGGACATATTGTATTTGAAATTTGAAATCAGGCATTCATCAAGTATAAAGGAATTATAATTTCATACAAACACCACATGTCTTTATTATAATAGGAGGTTATCGGTTGATTCTTATCCATTTTCCTTAGGATGTAACAATATCATCTGTTTGTGATAAAACAAATTTCAAATATAAACTCATTTGATTTTTATTACTAATAGACATATAATTCATTTTCCTCTATAATTTTAAGGAGTATACAATAGTTCTCATATCATCCTCCTATAATCTTTCGCCTTTAATTCTGAATCTCTCGGTAAGTATATCAAAGACTTATTGAAGAAAAAACGAAAGGTCAGCAACAACATATAAAATAAGATCTAAACTTTCATATTTTGCTGATATACTTTTACAGCTGTTTATGTATTCTTAAATGTAGATCAATGGTATTCTTGCAACTTATCCGAAATAATTCGTTATCAACTAAGGGCAAGACAAACATGAAATGTCTTATTACATAGTGATCAATCATGACCAGTTATTTTTCCTTCAACAATGCATTGTTTGTTTCTCATTTACCACAGTATATCAATATAAAAATACGGCGAGACTATAATTTTTGAACGAACCAATCACATATAAGATAACAGGCGCAAAATTCACCCATCCATTTCGATAAATAGAGTTTTGGCATTATAACTAATGTCAGTTTGTGATGTAAACCGAAAATCTAGTTCCAAACCTTTATCATCAACTGTAAATCATAATTCTAATTCCACACACAGGTTTATCACCTTCATTTGGTCCTAGTTATTTGGTGGACACACTTGAGGTCGCTCAAAGGTCGGTCATAAATTATAGTCTCACCAAAAATACTTTTGTTTATTTTGTTTACTAAAGAGTAAAGTAGGTTAACTCAACAACACTTGAGATTTCTACATTACAAAAAGCTTTGTTAAAGATGTTGAGGCTTATTTACATAATGTTCACTGTTACAAAGGAGCTTTAAATTAGCTTTAAAAGCTTCCATTTTCACTACGTTATATGGTTCTCCAGTGAGCGATTAAAACAATATCAACAAAAGCTATGTGAATATTAATAATTACATATCTAACTACTTGCTAATAATAAGTAGTCACATAAAGATCATATTTTGTCTTAACTGGGTTGATGATTTGTTTTGTGAGACATTATCCACTTTCTGTTGAACAACGATATTTCAATCTCCTGAGAAAGCTCATAAAAAGAAAAAAGACACATAGATGACGGATAGTACTTTTATTCAGTCCCTATATTAGGTTCTACAGTTTTGAGATTTATGGAGATGTGAGCATAATTGATATAATGTGATTGTTTATATCGTTCAACTAAAAATTATCTTATATTTGGGTTGAAATAAAGTGATGTAAACACTTAATCTACATAACAATATGATGAAGTCAACCATTCAATAACTTCATAGTCTGACTGACTCTGTGCTTAATCTTAACATTACCCACTCAGCCATCCCACGAAACGTTTCGTGGGATATTTAGGCTAAAAGTAGACGATTCGGTGGAAATTTAGGCGAAAAGTAGACAATTCGGTGGAAATTTAGGCGAAAAGTAGACAATTCGGCGGAAATTTAGGCGAAAAGTAGACAATTCTGCGGATATTTAGGCGAATAGTAGACAATCTAGCGACAAGGCGACAAAAAGGGGGAAATCCGCGTTATTTCCCCCAGACAGGCGAAAAAGGCGACATTTTGCAGCGTTTTCCCCTTTATTTCCCCTTTTTTCGCCTTTATTTCCCCTTTATTGGTTGATTGGGACGTGATGAAAAAAGAGACTAATACGTCATTTCCACGAGGGTAAGCTGAATAATCCACGTTATGCATTTTTGACCCTAAAAACGTTCCGTCAGCAATTCAACGCACATCGATCAATGTTCTTCGCTTGCAATACCTCAGCTTTATATAAATTTTTCTAGGTTTCAGTGTTGTTTCACCGACCTTAGAGCACCACCCCACCGAAATCAACTGCATAATGATTGGGTTTAAAATCTTATGTGAGATTACCAGATGTTGTCATTAAGGTCAAGGATAACTAGCACATGTTAATTGATTCAGCCCATGCAACCGATGCAGGCGAAAAATCTCCAGAAAGTGTGATTTCGGCGTAGGTCTGCTTAAGTTAAATAGTTCAACTGCAATAAGTGAAAACTAAAAATCTGACAATGTGAGCAAATGCATCATATTAATGATATTCACACATCAATATGTAACAGCGATAAATTATTGGGGTAAATATTGGATATTCAGGCCAACAGATTTTTCATGTTGAGAAATCTTGTCTCTATTTATATTTCACCTCTGCTCTTACCTGTTCAAAATTTAGAATTGTGGCCAGTTAGTCAGTTACTCTGTAAGTTAGTATTACTGGTTCTATAAAACTCATTGCTCCAGAATAAACTAAACTCGTTTTTATTCAAGAAATATCAACATCCAAATAGCTGTTAAACCCACTAAGATTAGCGTAGCCTATTAGTTTAAATGTCCACATCGAACGACGAAAATACTTGGAACCAAATCGTGAAAGCAAAAGAAATAAACTCAAAAGAGCATCTAGTTTACACTCAGTAGTCACAAGAATATTGGATATATTGATATTTGCCACTGCCCTTGAAACAACGCGCGCTGTCCGTTGGGATTGTTACTTATCCTGAATGTGTTTCTCGAGCTGATTTTGAGTAACTGCTTTTCAAGACGTTACAGCTTAAAGTATTTTGGCATCAAGGTTTCGTACTTATCATTCGTTAATAGCAATGGCCAGGTTAGTTCATGATGAATTATTACGTTGTATACATGATGTATAGCTGAGACAGTAGCACATGTTTCAGGAACATGTGAATTGGTGCGATGTAGGCTGCAATGTATACGGCAAGATATTGAATTAGTTGTAGTATATCTCAGTCCAGAGTGCATGGTATGTGATTTTCTCCTAAGTAAACTTAAGTCCTGGTGTAACAAGGGTAAAAGCCTTGTAGTAGGCGACTTTAACTCACCGTATATAAACTAGGTTAACTTAGAAATAGGATCATCGACAACGTCGTTCGATAGCAAACTGTTAGAAACCTCGATTGCCTTAGCTTTGCTCCAACACATTAAAATTCCCACAAGATGTGACTTATGAAACTCCTCTCTTTTAGATTTAGTCTTCACACACGGTGATGACGTTGGTCAAATGACTCCTCCCACCGCTAGGGAAAAGTAACCACGCAGTCATCTTATTCAAATTCGTGGCTGAGATAGCCTGCCAAACAGTTTCGCCGGCCCGTCCCAACATATTGAAGGCAGACATGGAGGCCATCAAATCCGCAGCATTGGCTGAAAACTGGGAAATTGACTCAAGGGCATCAGTACAAAAGGCATAGACGCATTTCAGGCAGTTATACAACCGGGTAACTCAGCCATAGATACCCTGGACAGTCCCAAAGAAGAAGAAACACGGACATCCCTGGATAGGCAGGGATATTCGACGTTTACTAAGACAAAAGAAGAAATGTTGGGATGTCGTCATCCGCCTTGGCACAGCAGGTACGATGGAACGCTACAGATCGGTAAGAAACAAGTGTATAACAAAAATTCGAGAAGCTCAAAGAAAATATGAAATGCAGTTGGCACAATCAGCACTCAAGCAGCCCAAGAGAATATTCTCGTACATAAACTACAGAACAAGGATGCATCATTGGATTCCAAATCTAATTAAAGAAGAGAGTGAATCTGAAATGATAGAGGAGAATCAGGACAAAGCAGAGGCTATGGCTGACTATTTTGGGGCGGTTTTCACTCAGGAACCTCCTTTAGAAAAAGAACCAGACCAAAATAAAGAGTCAATAAACCACCTGCTCACCGCGGACTTCGACCGAGACGATGTGCTTAAGGCTCTTAGCACCTTAAACATGGACAAGTCAACAGGACCAAATGAACTACACCCTAAAATCTTGAGACATATTGCACAATATATCGCAGCCTGATTGACTGTGATATTCAATGTCACTTAATCAAGGTGTGTTACCTATGGACTGGAAGGACGCAATCGTCACTCACATACATAAAACAGGACTAAGACAAGTCCCATCAAACTACAGACCTGTAAGCCTCACCAGCGTTGTAGTTAAAATATTGGAAAGAATAGTCAAACGGACAATAATGGAATTTATTGAAACAAATAACTTGTTAAACATAGAACAACGTGTTTTTAGAAAGGATCTATCTTGTACAACAAACCTCCTTTTAGCAAGGGAATTTTGGATAAAGGCGCTAGACAACGGAAACTCAGTAGATGTTGTCTACATAGACTTCAGTAAGGCTTTTGACAAGGTGCCAACAAATAGACTGCTATTGAAGTTGGAAAACCTTGGTATTGCTGGACCTCTCTTAAAATGGATTAAGGATTTCCTAGTAGGTCGTAGACAGAAGGTAAGAATAAATTCCAAGTGCTCCATCTGGAGACCAGTACTTAGTGGAGTACCTCAAGGTTCCGTCCTAGGTCCTTTATTTTTTATAATGTATGTCAATGATTTTCCAAGTATAGTACAGTCTCCAATGTTATTATACGCTGACGATGTAAAGATCTGGCGAGTAATAACTGGAGACAGACTCAGATGCTCTTCAGGCAGACCTAAATAATATAGTTAACTGGTCTAAAGAGTGGCTGGTGCCTATCAACGTGGCAAAATGTGTCTACATGCACTTCGGGGACTCAAATGTTAGTAGGTATAACATAGGGGAAGTACAATTACCAGTGGTTCGGTCTCATAAGGATCTGGGGGTGACAGTAAGTCAGGATGTTAAGACGACGACTCATTGCCGGGAGGTCGCAGCTAAGGGGTTTCGAACCCTCTGGGCATTAAAACGGACATTCACTGAGCTAGATACTATCATGTTCACCGAAGTATACACGTCCTTAGTGAGAACTAAGCTTGAGAACTGCGTTCAGGCCGCAAGTCCGTGTTTAAAAGGCCATTCGGATATCCTAGAAAAAATACAGAGGGCAGCTACCCGTGCAATTCCAGAACTCCGGGGTTCACCATACAAAGAGCGGCTTGAAAAGCTAGATCTCTTCACACTGTCCTATCGCAGATTAAGGGGAGATTTAATTTTGATGTACAGAATACTGAGAAAAGATTTTGGACCTAACTTACTCTCTCTTTTTCTTCCCACTAGATCGGGACATCTCAGAGGACATAGCAGGCGAGTAGAAAAGCCAAGAGCGAACAAAATACCCGTGGCATACAGGTTCTCACACCGAGTCATCAATACTTGGAACCTGATGCCCGAAGCAGTGGTATCCGCACCTTCAATCGACTCTTTCAAGAGAAGTCTGGACACTCACAGAAGCATACTAGGAAAGGAATAACATAGGCCGTAGGCCTTCTGTCCTTACTATACAAATCTGAATCTTAATCTGAAAGCCTAACGAAACTCGGTAAGACTATTATTTACGCACGACCTTTGAGCAATGCTACAGAGACCTTTAAAATATGCACCTACTTAATAGCGTTTATAGAGGGTTATAAGTTTATATAAGGAGTTAGGATTAGAATTTGCAGTTGGGCGTTACAGTTAAGAATTTGAGTCAGTGTCTTCTTCACGAACTGACATAAGCTATTATACCTAAATGCTAGTTACCCATGTAAATGAATAAATTCTGCGTCGAAATTAAGAATTTACTGTCCTTAATGTCGTTAATTTTTCCACACATCATAGTTTCGCCCAATCGAGATTTCAGATTTGTGTATTGAAGACAAGGTCTACGGCCTGTGTTAGTCCTCTTCTAGTTATTTATCTGCTTAAATACATAAGTATCGATACGAGGCGACTTCCAAGCGTCTCGTCTTTCCTTGAATGAGTTATTCCAATGGGCGAACACCACTTCTTTGGGTAACAGGTCACCAGAATTGATGACTAGGTGTGAAAACCTGTATGCTATGGGTATTATGTTCGTTTTTAGCTTTTGTACTCGCCCGCTATATCCTTTGAGTTGTCCTGATCTAATGGGGAGAAATAAGAGGGACACGGGTCCAAAATAGTTTCTCAGCGTCCTGTACATTAAAACTAGGTCACCTCTTTATCTGTGGTAGGATAGGGTAAAAAAAAGTCTAGCTTCTCAAGACGCTCTTTGTATGGTTTCGGAATTCCACGGGTAGTTGCCATCTCTACTTTTTTTAACATATCCAAGTCACCTTCTAAATAGAGGCTTGCAGCCCCAACTCAGTTTTCAAGTTTGGATTTCACTAAAGTTGTGTATAACTCAGAAAGTATGCATACTAACTTAGTGCTTGCATATAGTTGTAACGGAGTTATTTTTATGCTTATAAATCTAGTAGTAAATATCCGGTAAAGAAGTACACATGTCCGATTCCGATTAAATGTCTTTCTTGTAAGCATGAAGAAAATACTACTCTAGGTAAGTCACCTTTTACCTTACAACTCAACTTTATAGTTTTTGATTCATTGGATCTTACGTCTGAAATGAAGAGTCCCATCAGTTTGAGTCCTATTGCTTTGGATTGTGAAATGGTTGGGGTCGGACTCAAAAATTCTAATGCTTTAGGACGAATTAGTATTGTTGACTATGAGGGAGAAGTTTTATGTGATGTTATAGTTAAACCTGAAGAAGAAATTTGTGATTATCGCACAACATGGAGCGGAATACGTGAAGAAGATATGTCTCGTGCAATGCCCTATTCCTATGTTCGAGAGCTGGTTGAGAAGGTCATACATGTAAGCACCTAGTTTTAAATGTTAGCGATTAAAATGGCTACTGGTCAAACATTTTATTTGAGATGTCAAATGTGACTATGTGGTGGTGTAAGTCAATATTTGTGTTTACAGGCTCGACATAAAATTGACATATGATATTTCAAAATCCTAAGTAGTGCTTTAATCTATATTTACATATCAGTTTGATGTAAATTATGTAATTTATCCAACTTAAATTTTATTTCAAATAAATGGGGACTATTGGACTCAATTTAACATTGTCATGTTTTTCAGAATCGTATCGTGGTAGGGCATATGCTGAAGAATGACTTCTCCGTATTAAATATGAAGCACCCTCCTCATTTGGTACGTGACACTTGTAGGGTTCCATATCCTAAGTTGCTTGCTGGTTTTCCCACGAAACCTGCAGTTGGCCTCAGAGCTCTTACTCTTCGACTTTTTGGTTAGTTATCATATATTTTGTTACATAATTTTATTAATTTCATGGAGATTCGTAACTCATATATCATGGGTTTATTAATCAGTCTTTTTGTCCTTTGAATAATAACTCATGTGGAAAATCTACTAACTTAATATCGAACTGTTTACTTGGCAACGTAGTTTCCCGACTAAATTCTTCGTCCGATTAAGGACTTTCTAATCATGAGATCAAAATAAAATAATTTCACGGTAAATATCACTTCTACCTTGGTTGGCATTTTACCATGTTGCCTGTATTGATTTATTATGATAGCTTAAAGGTTAAAGAACACACGTTTTTACTTGCTACTCACTGGTTCAAACCCTGCTCCCATCAACTTGAGTTTGTGGACTAACATTCACAGAAAGATGTTACTGTCGTGTGCATACATTAGTAATCGTTTAGTAATTTACAACATGTTTAATCGGTTGCAACAGCCAAAAAATCAAAGTTAACAGTCAAGACAAAATATATTTCCTTGCATGTATTTAGAAGCAAGCTGAGGTATCGGGATCATAAAAAATAAACATTTCACAACTTAGTTAAAATGCGGAACGAAAATATTTTATTGAGAATAAAAGAACAAGCCGATGACAAAGATATTTCTGTAAAGAAAAAATCCAAACAATTTGAGGATCAACACCAAAATGTTGCATCTAAGGTTCTTAGAAATACTATAAATAATCTAATAAAGAAATGTATTTGTAAAATTAAGGAAAAAACTGTATTTATGATATCTCAGAGATTGAATTTTGAGTAAACCCAATGTTTTATTCAGCAATCCAGTTCAAGTTTTCTTCAAGGTAATATAATCAAACATCAAAATTATCGAATATAAATAGGTATATGGTTCTCTGGTTAACTGTATACTACACAGATCATCCAATCATGTTAACAATGTTGAAGGTAAGAATTCGCTGTATTGAGTATGATACATCTGGTCTAACCCCAACCAATCTACGAAATTGCGCCACCGTACACCATTGAAGTTAGACATTAACACCGTTGGATACCGGCCAGCTCAGTGGTCTAATGGTTAAGCGCTCGTGCGCGAGACCGATAGGTCCTGGGTTCAACCCCCCCGGGGCGGGATTGTGGATATGCACTGCTGAGGAGTCTAATACTAGGACGAAACGGCCGTCCAGTGCTTCCAGGTTTTTCATGGTGGTCTAACTTCAATTGATTTCAACTATTGAAATCACTAAAATCTCCACAAAACCCCTTCTGAAAAAAATTGTTCTAAAAATATTTTGATTATAACAAATAGTTTTTCATTCAATACTTATCATATGTTATTTACATGGTTTATAATCACTAGTTCCATCAGATTTTTTAAAATTGTTTTCATAAATATTCAGAATGTTGAAATTTTATTTGTAAGTATATCAGTCATATTATTATACATATATTTTCTCTATATTTTTTCTTAGAACAACAAATTAAAATGTATGTAGGACTTATTGCACTCATATCATCTAACTCAAACGGTTTATGGAGTACTCTTTCGGTCAGTCAGTACTCTTTAATTATTCACCACTCATGAGTATAAATTTTAGGATTGATTTAAGCCTTGCTTCTCAATTTCTATCGTGGATAAGAAAGTCATAATTATATTTGAGTAGAGAAAAGTAATAGAACTTGATAAGTTAATTTTGCGGGTATTTATTTATGCATTTGAACACATAAATATTGGTACAAAGGGGGCACCGAATACATATGTGCCACACAAGTCACTTGATTTGTGTGGGCTGTGATGTTGCTCGGGTGTCCAAACTGAACCAGGTGATTTTTTTAGGGGGCCACACCCGGAGCCTTTGACTTAAGGGTTTGATCCGCAAGGCAGGGGAGCAACTTCAGAAGATGCAGTTCCATGGTAACCAGTGGCCAGTAATTTGTTCATACACCATTTGTTCCCTTAGGATCATGGAGCCAGCCCATATGCACCATTGATTTGGAATCAGGGTTTTCTAAATCCCCTAGATGCATTCTCATTGTTCATCAACCCAGTTAAATCGACGGATATTCGTTTTTCGTCCTCTCAATTTTGTAATCAACAGTAATGCCGCAAGAAGACAGTGAGTAGGACTTCCCTGGCAGTGGCTGTATACGTGTAGACGTGTGATGAGAGCATTTGGAGAGAGAGAGAGCTGACTCTCTCCACTCACTGTCGTACCATGGTATTCGGGAGTGTTTTTTGATAGCTATCCAGCATTATCATTAAAATCGACTGAGATATCAAGTGAGGCCTTTAAAATGCGCCTAATTCTATGTGACTAGTCTCGATCATTTATCGTAGTGGTCTGTAAAAAAAGAAAAGAAACCCCATTGTGGTAGTAACAATGGAATCAGTTTGTCCAATAATAATCTTCCGATCTCTAAATGAAGCTTAGAAATGATAAATGCGATAGAATCAAGCATATTTCAAACTTGGACACAGATGTTTTGACCAAGTTATTTTTTCAGCAGGTTTTGAGACAGAAATATGCATACTAAGACCCAACTATTGTTCGTATACCTTACCTTAAAGTGACATTTATTTCCGTTGATCGAGAGGTCCCAAAGCACAGTTTACCACTGTAAAGCATTCACAAAATGTATGTGGATCTACTGAAAGGTCTCTATTCAGAAGCTGTCAATCAAGTAACGGCCTACAATGAGCTAATTTGAGTTGGCTCTCAGAGCTCCATACTTTCCCCATTTTTACTTAATTTCATTATAGATAAGCTTTTAAAAATAACGTACTCTTCGTTTGTAGTTTCAGCAGTTTACCTTTTATCATGAGTCTCAACTATCGGCTTAGAATACACAGATGATATGATTATGGGCTGTGGTGATAATATAGTATGGCAATTTAAACCAATGCATATATATGTCTGGTTCTACGTTGCCTATAGCTGATAGATCGTTTTATGTGATGAATAATAGTAAGAATAACAATCCAAGCATGATTAGAATGAGTTTCTCCGTTTCTCTAAGTGGAAATTGTTTCAGGAATAGTCTACATCAATACCTAGACTAATAATAGATATTTAAGTGTTTGAGCGTGTCCGATACCTCATTTTTCTTAGAAGTTTCCTTAGCCCAAATGAGCTGGTATCTGACAAGCTCTCAATACACATCCAGTAAATTCAGATGGTTTTTCACTACTTACATTACTAGTAACCTAAAGCAAATGTTGTCTGTTAACAACGAAGTGATTATACTGTACAGTAATGCCCTCCATATTATTCTGTTGTTGCAAAACATGACCTATACATTACAAATACCTACTAAATGTCTACCTAAGTAGCTAATATTACCTAGAATAGAAGTATATTGAAGAAAATTAAAAATAGACAAATCAAGATGCTTCTATGACTGTTAACCTGAATGATATATGATAAGATAATAATAGTAGTCAAGTTCATAATTTAAAAAAAACTACTATGTCTCATCGATTAGTAGTTTACATATAAAAAGAACAATCAACTAAATATTTAGCGTAATTTGTTTTCATTATTATTAATATATCTATATACATTAGACAAATTAAACTATTTCATCTAATTACCTACATACAAGATATTCAGAACCAATGAAATCTTACTAGTGAAATTCTTTAACTATAAAGTATAATTAACACTGTAATCATTTGTTGTTTGTTTTTGTTATATTTTCAAAAGAAAAAAACATACAAACTATGGTTATCCAAATATTGACAAACACGTTTAAACACATAAGATATATTATTCAGTAATCAATAGTAGTAAATAATCGTAAAAGAAAACAAGAAAATGTTTTTAGTATGCAACTTTTTTCAGAAAGTAGCTAGCAATTGGATCCAGGACGCACGTTTCGCCCTATTTGGGACTGCCCCCAAATGCTCTGGTATGGCCGAGAGTGGGGTTTGCCCGCTCTCCCTCTCGAAATGCTCTCACACGGCCACGCGTATATAGCCTCTGCCAGGGAAGTCCTACTCACTGCCTTCTCGTGGCGGGGGTGTTGTCTACGAAACTAAGAGGACGAAAAGCGAATATCAGGCGCTTTAACCGGATCCCAAATCAATGGTGCACATGGGCTCCAGTATCCTGAAGGAACAAATGGCGTATGAACCAATCGTTGGTCACCGGCTACCATGGGACTGCATCTCCTCACGATGCTCCACTGCCTTGTGGATCAGATCTTTGGGTCAAAGGCTCGGGGTGTGGCCCCCTAAGCAAACCACCTGATTCGGTCTGGGCACCTGGACAGTATCACAGCCCACACAAATAAAATTTTCTGTGGCGCATATATATTATTTGGTGCCCTCTTGTACCAATATTTATGTGTTCAAATAAATGAATAAACAAACTATCTGGAACTTGTCAACTGAATGTACTTGCATCTCAGAGTTGATGTTCATTCCGGGATTCGAACCCAGTACCGTTTGTTTTAATTACTATTGCGTTATCCACCTAACTACTATGTCCAGATAGTCACTAGCTTATGCAATGGAGCTGAAGTTTTAATTCATTTTTGTATTGGCTGTATCAAGTCTTCCCATTAAGATTTAAGATTGTCGTTGATCAGTCTCATTTTTGGTATATCGTACATCTTTCATATTTATTTAATTTCAATAACTTTTTCATTAAACTGAAGTTGTTTTTTTTTCTTCCAAGAATGATCTATTTCACATTTTCTTACAACTACTTATTTATAGGCATTAATATTCAAGATGCTGAACATTGTTCAATTGAAGATGCTCGTGCATCAATGGCAATTTATCGTTTAGTTAAAGATATATGGGAAGCTGATTTACTTAAAATAAATAAAAAACAATTTTTAAAGCATACTTCTAATGATAATTATAAATCAATATGTGATACAGATAATTGTCAAGAATATATTACAACAACATCATCATCATTATCATAGAAACTTTTAATAGTTTCTAATTTGTATATGTTTTAAAAGTATCATATAAATATCAGTCAACTATATCAATGTTGGATAATATTCATCATATTTATCCTAACATTAAGGTATCCGAAAACTAATTCATTCACTATTGAACCTATTTGACAAGAATATAAGATTATTTTGTTTTGTTTTTTTTTTGATGGAATTCTTTCCACTTTATTTGTAACGAAATCATATCATACATTATAAATATAAACGTTAAGTATTATTATATCTATATTGCTATATGGAACTCAAGATCACATATGAGACCGGAGGTTCACCATTGATATTGTGGATGGTTCAGCATTACTTTGGCAAGTTTTACTGACTGTTCATGCTTGAAACTGGTTTGCTGGTTAACCGATTTTCATTCACACTGATGATTGCTTTTCAGTGTTCTCAAGGAGATTCTATAGGAATTTTTCTAGTCATATTTCCCTTCATAACTTTTGAACGGATTATTATTTTTCAATGGGGTTTGCTTTGTGTTACTTATCGAATTGAGTACTATTTAATGATGTGTAATATATACATATACATTAAGATTTGTGCTTGACGATTTACACCTGCTCTTACTCGTCATGTCATAAGGGGTACTGCCCCTAACTCAGGGTCTGAAAAGTCGGAAAAATGAAAATTTCGCAAACACGAATAAAATTATCGTGGTAGTCTTGTAATAGTATTCCGACACGAGACAATGGGTTTTAAGCGTTTTTTAAGTCCTAACACTTCAGGCTGGGTTATTTCGTTTACTACCCTATATATGCGTTCTATGCAGTCTAAGCTATATTGCTATATAGAGCTGAAGGTCTCAGATGAGATTAGACGTTCGCCATTGATATTGTGGATGGTTTAGCATTACTTTGGCAAGTTTTACTGACTGTTCATGCGCGAAATTGGTTTGCTGGTTAACCGATTTTCATTCATACTGGTGATTGCTTTTCAGTGTTCTCAAGGGCCTTTTTAAGGCATTTCGTTACTGCTAATATTAATGAGTTTTACAGTTGTATATCCGCAATAGGTTAACTTTGGCCCGTTCGTGCTCTTCATAATGGATTCATGCGATCATTAATCAGAATAATTATTCATGTGACGTGAATATATATATATATATATATATATATATATATATATATATATATATATATATATATATGAATGGTCCGCCACTGTGCTTGGTACTTTTGTGGTTGCTCCATAGGTTTGAGCTGTACTATTCAGATTGTAGCATTAAAGCCTAAATGGTGTCTGGTTCTCTTGTAAAGCGAGATGGAGCTGTACTGCTCAGGTTAAACCTGGGAGGTGTCTGGCTCTCTTGTTAAACGGGTTTGAGCTGTCACATGAAAATGTGGATGGTGTCCGGTTCTCCTGAAAACCAATGTAAAATTATCCTGACCCACAATAGTATATTATATAACTGTAAATGTAATAATGTTTTAATATTTTCATTCTTCTTGGTTTGTACTATTTAACTACTTAATTTCTCATTGCATAATTATAATTACATTTTGGATTGATAAATTCTTGATTAAAACAATTAGATCGAATAATTGTTTTCCTATTTCAATTTGGTTATGGTAAATGTGTAAATCACACTTGTTAGTTTTTAGTATTCTGTAGTTAATTAAATAATAATGAATAGTAGTTTCATTCTTATTAATTAGTTGTTTATCTTTTGGGAATTATATACTACTTTAATAGTATACTATAGTCAAGATGAATGTTGTAGTAGTTCGAATTTCGATCATTAAGTTGAATGTTTAGAAATCATTCCATCTACTTTGGTTTATGCGGTTATGTAGTACTCATTAGCTCTTGTATTAAAAAATATATATGAATGGCTTAAGGATCAGTACATATCATTGGTACTGATTTGTGATTGATTAGATCATTTGTTCTTCAGTTTCATGATTCACATTGTTTGATTACAAATTCATGTATTGAATTCATTGTCTTCATCATACATACTATAACAATGTATTAATGGCATGCACTAATAAACACTAATACACTTTATCTTCTCCCGTGTATGATAATAACTGTATTAGTTTTCCTTAATATATAGTTGTGATTTTGACAAAATTAAAAGTTCAGGACTGTAATTATTGACAGTTTGGTCGTTTACATATATGTTCTTGAAGAGATGAATGGATTAATGTCTAATAAATTAACTTTCACTTTGATAGTTTAGCTCGTATTTGTTATATCCCGATAAGAATAATGGATGGTAACTATTGGAATCTATCTCTGGACTAATACTATACATATACTTTTATCGCGTAATTGTTAAGTAACTAAACCAAGGTCCTCAAATACAACACAGAAAACAGCAATCCAATCACATTTGGTCACGAAACTCTGGAAGATGTAGAATCCTTCACATACCTGGGAAGCATCATCGATGAACAAGGAGGATCAGATGCAGACGTAAAGGCGAGGATTGTCATTATTATCATTTGAACACATAGATATTGGTACAAGGAGGCACCGAATACATATCCACCACACAAAATTTTATTTGTGTGAGGGCTGTAATGCTGTCTGGGTGCCCAAACCGAAGCAGGTGGTTTTCTTAAGGGGCCACACCCCGAGTTCTTAGTGATCTTTAAGTTAAACAGGACAATTTAATAGTCTTCAACTGATTAATATGTAACCATAAATTATCTACAATATTTATGGTACACCGAAGAAATCATACAGGACTTTGTAAATTACAAAATGTGATATAGCAAGCAATGATTTAATTTATTTTAAGGGTTAAATAAATCTGTATCACTAGTCTTGTGTTCTCCTTACTCGTCATTGGACTCGAGTTTCTGTATCAAGCACAAACCAGTTAAGCGTTTCTACAGCTATAACAGAATGTACAAAGTTTGTATGGTATATCAAGTATGTGCATGGTTGAGATATAACTAGTAAGCAGACTGTTTACTTGGTCAAGTTGTAGCGTCGGTCATTATGTTAAGCCCACATGACTTATTCTGACTTTCGGACAGGCCAATCTATTCATTCTACTTGAGTCACATTTTGACCTAGTTAATTATTCACTTATCAATCTTCACTGTTTTTATATGAGCGCGTAGGTGTGTGTACACTTCTTATCCCATTATTCATCACATGTCTGTAACTTATTTTTGTATAACTATAAATAGTGATTTACGTTTGATTAAATGGGAGTTGGTTTACCCGCCATGTCCACTGCACGTCGTTTCACTCCGCTCTATTCCATTCGCTTCATATACAAAATATATATGTATTAAAAAGTCCATTCTCATTATTTGACTTATTTAATTCGGTTATTGACTAACGCGATTTAAGTCGATGATTACATACGAGGATAGGCGACATATATATTTCGACAATGATCATTCATACGATCGAATTGGAGTCAGATCTCGGGCCACTAAAGTGGAGAGCCCGTCAACAAACATCCTATCTAAATGACGACAAAATTAAGGGCCCCACAAAAAAGTTTACCACTCACATATCCACTGCTTAGTTTATTGTTACTATCCATAAAGTTGTAAACATTGTTCACTCGGGAAATACAGCGTTTTACTCAACCCATTTTTCATTCCCCTATCTATTTTGACCTGGTAAACCGTTCAGTACTCATTAATAACTGAATCACTCTATCTAAACTTTCATAGGAAATAAACGAAACAATTATTGATATTAAAATACCGGTGTTCTGTTTTTCACTAGTCATAAAATCCGAGCTTGTTAGTGTTGGGTTGTATAGATTGTTGGATTTTATTAAAATTAAGAACTGAACTAAGTTTGACAGCCTGAAAGCATGGGACGGGCGTTTCTATTAGTACGAAGGTCCTTTGTATTATTCGTCCTAGTCTCGAGCTCAGGACTGGTTCCGCGTGTGTGGTTGTGAATTCTCACTGTCGAGCAGTTCCATATTAAGACGAGACGGGTACCCAGTGCTCCCAGGTTGTTAGACTTAAGTTGGTTCATGATTTCTATAAAGTCCTAAACTTATTCAACATCATTTTCGACCTTCTATTCCTTTAGTGTCAAAACTGATTAGTTCAGTCAATAATAATCCATTCTAATTATTAATTTTATACTGATTCGTTTATTATGTATCGATAATTTAAAACACTTAATAAAGTTGGTAAACAAGTCCATTCATCTCTTAAAATATACTTATTATAACATAAATAGAATGTTAGGTATTTGTCAATAACTCGTGTGTCAATCAAAATGGTTGATTAGAGAGTGTATACAAGTTGAAAAAGTTGATAACCGATAGTTTTACTGAACTGATCGTTCATCATTGTAAAGTAGTTTCACACACAACCTTGGAAACTGTATTCGTCATTATTATAACTGTGTACAATTCATCAGATATAATATAAACCTTTTTCTAGGTGATACTTAACTTTTCTGAAACCTGAATCCTAGATTCATATGATATTGATATAACCTTCATCCTGTGAAGATATCTAAATTAAGGTTGATCAGTTTAAATCTAAGTGACCACTGTTTATTGTAGAATACGTACTAAGGCTCCTTAATCCATCTGGTATCTCATAACTATCTATTCTTTACGAAGAATATCCACTTCATAATTGTATTTTGAATGTGTTAACAATACTGAACTATCTTAAAAGTCATAAGAATGTTATATTTATGTCCATAACTTACTGCCATCAAATCGTTACTTATTTCAGTATATTTCTAGATAACAACTAATCATGGGATTCGGTAAACGTATTTTCTCTCTTTTATGACTTATCAGCCGAATATATTCACAACCCAGTGTTAATATCCACGATGAAAATTAAGCCCAGTACTTATCTCCATTAAACTACTGAGTTCAGATAGGTATCAACTAGTTTAATTTGTATGGTATTTATTACGTTATTGATACCCTTGAAAACAATTGGGCACAATTATGTTCAACCATCCGGAGACATTTGTGGTGTTGGAATCATAAAAACTTCTTTTACTAAAATAAACAAGTGTCGAAGTATTCTTTGGAGAAATTGACGTCGTTTATCCTGCATTTAACACATTCTTTGTCATCAAATGCAATGTTTGGAATGGAATAAAAACCAAACATGTATCTTTAAAATTCTAACACAACGTTGGATTCTTGAAAATCTATGTTAATAAATTCATCCAGGAGATATTAGTAGGATAATCGCAGCTTACTGGACTCGTTTTGAAAGTCAGATTGACTTTTAATTTAGTTAACTGAATTCTCCCCACTGCAAAAACTGTTTACTGTAAAATGTAATTATTAATCTTCGTAAGAGCTTTAGTATGTTAAAACACCTAAAGTGAAGTAGAATGGGCCTTTTTACTACCCCCACTCACGTTTTATGCCAACGCTAGATCCGAAAAGCAGAGAAGCAACATCAGGAAATGGATTTTCATTATGATTGGTAACTGTTGGTAATCTGTTTATCAAATCCTTCAATCTATTACACAAAATACCAGTGAGCAGTAGCTTTCTAGAATATAGTTACAAACCTACATCCACAGGAAAATATTTTCACAGAAAAGGAAGATTCTTCATCCTACTGCGCCATTAATGAGCTGACACAAAGTTCTAGTTTCAAAAAACCATACGAACGTTGAAACTAGTAAACATGTGCATCAATGTACGACTCCTTATCATTTCATCATAGAGATGAAATTATCTAGAACTCCGAAGTAACTGAAACATAAACAATGCCATTAGTGATGGCAAACATTAGGCATAGACGATATGGCTCATGAATGAATCCGTGGAACAGAATAATTTTAAGACTAAGGAATACACAGATTGAATACATCTGAACCATCGCGACTAATTTTAAGCCATTTTACCTAGTCTCCAACCATTAATACTGATAATTGCACGGATCCCAGCTGAACGATCTTTACCCAACAACATGTCTCAGTCCAGCAGCCAGTAACTTTAAGGACTGCTCTCCAGCTTCGATCCACCCACCCAGTTAATCGGACAAGTATTTCATGATATTATTCGGCAAGCTTTTTGTATTCCAATCAAAATAGGCTGGTTTTGATAGTAATGGTAACTTTGATAGGAGAGAGAGAAGGAACACGATGCATTTGCACCATGGAGAAACGTTCGGTATTCGCAAATCCAAACCCCCTTTATGTGTACAGAAAAAAATAGTCATAATTATGACTGAACATTAGTAGTTGTCAAGCCATTTTATGAACTACAATGGTGTGACTAATTTTTATCCCTACCATATTATGTTCATCTTCATCACTGTCTCTATTTGAACTTTCATTTAGTCAACTTTAATTGTACGTAAATGGTTTGACAAATATATATTGAATAGTTGAAATCGTATCTTAATTCAATTAAACCTCTGTATGTAAATTAACAAGTATCTTTAATGTCGGTGAATGACAAACCTTTAATACAACAAATAGACTGAAGATGGAGCTGTGGATAGTAAATTGTCAAGTCAGTAGTCTTTAGGTCAATCGTTCTCTAAGAAGCCTAAAATAATCTGGATTTGATCTGTAGTCTATTGAACAAGAGTCTTATATTAGGGCAGTATCTGTTCATTGCTTTCTGGTTGTTTAGCTACGATCACATAATAATGTAGGCGACAAATAATAAACAATTTCAATAGTTGAGATCACGAGTCAATTGAAGCTAGACCGCCATGGAAAACCTGGAAGCACTGGACGGTCGTCTCGTTCTAGTATGGGACTCGTCAGAAGTGAGCATCCACGACCCCGCAGCCCGTGAGATTCGAACCCAGGACCTATCAATTTCGCGCATGAGCGCTTAACCATTAGACTACTGAGCTGGCCGGTATCCAAGGCTGTTAATGTCTAACTTCAATCAATCGACTCATGATTTCAACTATTGAAACCACTAAAATCTCCACAAAACCCCTTCTGAAAATATATATTAGTCAGATTGTTCGAAATGTATGGTGTAAATACATCACGTCATTCAGATCAACTCCACTTTTTTCATTGTGCTCTATCAAAATTTATAAAAAAGGACTAATTGTTTTGAAGAAATAATAAAGTTATTGATAAGTTGAAAAATGACAAATGAGTGATTTGTTTTTCTTTTAAAAAAAACAACAACAAACAAACGGAGGATCCCAATGAAATAAGTGATGGTAAACTAGGATTATTACAACTTGACTAACCAAATGTGGCAAAATAACACAATACAACTAGAATAAAAACATGAAAATGAGAGAGAAAAGGATAGAATAAAAATAATTTCTTTTATACATTAGAAAATAAATGAAAATAAAATACTCCAAGGAAGTTTAATTCTGAATAGGTGGTAGGTTTTTGCATACATGCTGTTTTCGTTGTTGAGACATGTAGGGCCTACTTGTTTTATTGCACCGAGTTATATATATATATATATATATATATATATATATATATATATTGAGAGGAGGCAGGGGGGGCTAAATTTAGACTACAGATTGTAATAAAGGGTTTATTAATAATCAATTCTAATCGGTATCCTGATATCTTCATCATCTTCATCTTCAAAATTGAAAGGTGTATAATTCACGGAATCACCGGACAACAGTGAACGTTTTGGACTATTGTGAAATATTGCTTCTGGTGTATCAATCATATCACGACGTGGTACATTTTCAAATAATTCAGCACGATTTTGTTCTTCACCTTTCTTAACCCATTGACTATAAACATCATAGGCAAGTGTATCAATAATTTTACGCAATTTCTTATTTGAATATGGATCCATAGATAACTGATTGATATTCAAATAGGCAGCATCCACTTTTAAACGGCGTAGGTAAAATATAAAGCTGACAGCCAACATACCAGTCTATATAGTTGGTTAAAGGGAAAAGAGATAACAGTTTAGTGATTATTTATTATCCTTAATTAACTAATGAAAATAACTTATAGATTGTAGTAATTACATAAAACAAATTCCGAGTCTCAAAATGGAAAAAACAAGGTTTGTTGAATGGCCCCCAAATACTTTGATACGGCCGAGGTTAGGGAGAGTCAGCTCTCACTCTTCAAATGCTCTTATATGGCCACATGTATACAACCACTGAAAGTGAAGTCCTACTCAATGACTTCTTGCGGCATTACTGCTGTTTACAAAATTGAAAGAATGAAAAGCCAATGTACGGCGCTTTAACCGGGTCGGTGGACACGGAGAGTCCACCTAGAGGAGTTGGGAAACCCTGATTCCAAACTAACGGTACACATAGGCTCCAGGATCCTGAGGGAACAATAGGCGTATGAACCTATTGTTGGTCACTGGTTATCATGAGACTGCATCTCCTTACGTTGCTCCACTGTCTTGTGGATTAGACCTTTAGGTCGAAGGCTCCGTAAAAAAACCACCTGCTTCGGTCTGGGAACCCGGACAGTATCACATACCTCACACAAATCAATGATAACTGCTACTAGTTTCAATGTTATTGTGTGGCGCATAGGTATTTGGTGCTCCCTTGTACCAATCTTTATGTGTTCAAATAAATAAATTGTTGAGTGCAATGAATCTGTTTATTTTTCATTGCATTCTCCTCAGTCACAGATAAATAATTTTCATTGATACGGAATTTTAGTAAATACTAAAATACGAAGGACGCTAAAGGATAAATTACTCAATGAAGAATAATAAATGGTCTCGAAAACAAAATCGTCATGACTATTTACATATTTAAATTAAAACAGTGGTGAATGGCTTAGTTGTATACTCTATATAATCAGACTCAATACATTTCCGGAAAATAAACCCAATTTGATTAAAAGCTGAGGTTTCACCAGCTCTAGTAGGCTAGCTAGTTAAAATCTCAGTAGTTTGGTGAGTAAAACACAACTCCGAACCGGTTGTTCTAAGGTTCGAACTCCATTTCACTCCACTCTAAATACTTAAGTTTCGATAACTAGATAGTATTACTAGCCATCGAAGCCTAAAGCGTGACTTAAACTTGAGTACTTGCACGTCTACTTGGTAAATGAGTAATATTAATGTTACTACACAAACCTACGCCACCTGTAGTATAGATCATGTTTCTCAGTTGATCGAAAAATGAGTATACTAGATAGCAGATTTTTTCTCTGTAAGTTTACTGTTGTGAAAAATCGGTGTATTTTGAAAATATTTGGCTACAGGAATCGTCAATGCATCCCCTTGAGGATGATAAAACCACCAAAAAAACTTTTTTAAGTTCAGAAGTAGTTTTAAACAAAAATGGTAAATCGACTGATAAGACTAAAGATCTTTCTTAACTTAGGCAACTGAAACACGTTAGATGTATCCTAATCACCATCTACAGTACAATCAAAGCCTGGCTAATATAGGAGTGAACTGGAAAAAGAACCGGGAGTGGTCAGACTTAAATACAAAATCAATCTATGAAGTCATTAACTGAGATGTATCAGGGACGTGAACTCTTCCTGACTGAAGTCCGACAAACAATCGAAATTTGTTTGCATAAGACAAAATATTCTCAAGTCTCACCTTAAATTTCTGTCTAGCATTGAAGGCTATCTTTCCAACTATAGGCTGAAACAAATATAAAATAAATGAGAAAATTACTAGTATATGCTTCGAATACAATTTTATTAAGTAAATATGCATCTAATTATAATATAGAAACAGTTGTTTGCCTAACATATTTTTGAAGGGACTTTCTTCATTATTTATAACTTATTTACAAGGTACAAGCTCGTATATTTGGCCTTGAGCTACACTCCAGGTGTGAGAGTTAATGATACTACCCGGTTGTGTAAACTGAAGTAGGTGTAACGCAGTCTTAGTCTGTGAACGCCCTAACCATTTAGCTACCGACTGCATTAAAAAGTTTTACAAAGATAAACTAGAAAGAAAGAAAGAAATAGATATGAATTGTATCTGTAAATATCGAAACGAGTTTAAGTATGATTACCTTTAAAGTTTGATCAAAAATTTTCGTCTAGGGATTGGGGTGATTTCTAGAGACGTTATCAGATATGGCTTAGAATAGAAGCCAGTGGCGATCTTGCTGTAACCTTCTTCATAAAAAGTGGTTGTATCTTCCTTAACTGAAAGATTTCTTATGATTGTACCTTTTCGTTTTCCCCATCATTGTTCTCTCTCTCTTTTTTTTTATTTATTTATAATTCCCCACGTTCATTACTTTTTTTTTCTCCTTCTCTTCAAATTATCATTGTTTTGTGTGGCGTATATATATTTGGTGCCCCCCTGTACCAATATTTATGTGTTCAAATAAATAATAAATAAATAAACTACATACACATATATTAGACTTTTAAGCTAATCATTAGAATGATTTACAAAAGACGAATATTAGTTGAAATATTTTTTAAAGTTTGGGAGTGCATACTACTTATAAGTTGAAAATGAGCATGAAACTACTATTCAGTACTTATAAGGTTTTATGTAAGTGCTTGACTGACAACCAGTGAGAAAAGATCCAACTTTGTTGCAAAATATAAAAAGCATAAGATTTAGTTCTAATATTTTAAAATGAGTACTGGATAGAATAACCACCAAATTCTTACTTTCGCTAGTGCAAGGTTTGAAGCGGATAAATGTCCCATACATATTCCAATCACTTCTGTTAATAAGCGTTTACAGTTTTACTAACTGACTTATTATTCTATGCTTGATCTGAGCGTTACTACTTAAGTGATCCAACTGCATGCAAACAATATATGGGAGGAACTTAAGACTAAATGTTGGTAGCACATACATATCATTCTAAAGAAATTAATAATCGTAAAATCAAAGTGTTAACAAATTTCTGCTATTCACAAAATAATTACGCAGTAAATTATTAGTGTTAAATATTCGAAGGATAACTATACTGAAAATCTAAACCAAAATGTTAAATCAACATACTTGTTGTAGGAAGAATACATGATTCAATGAATCTAAAGCTGTCAACCTTACGCTGGAATCCACAACTAGAATTTTACATATCTATTTGTAAAAACAATAAATATTGAAAAATAGATGAGAATGAAAGTAAGTTCGTGGTGTTAATAAAAAATGTCAACAGCAAACATTACGTATAGTGTTAAGTATACTTATAAACAGGATGGTGAAATGTTATATATATATATATATATATACTTCTAATAGTTAAGATTTTTTAAATAAAAATTAACAGCTAAGACACTTAATTATTAGGTTAGATGTTTGAACTTATGCTCAGCTTAGTGAGATCAAGGTTGTAACAGTCAATTATAAACGATAAAGGATTTGGCCCAAACGTTTATCGATCCAACTTTTTACACTACACAAGGGCAGTGAGATTAAACCAACGGAATGAACAGGAAAGATGAAGTAACAGAAGTGTTAATAATAATAAGGAAAGAAAGAGATTATGTTTTGTCAAGAAATGAATAAGTAAATAAAAAGATGCGAAATGATATTGAAACTCGAGATTTATAGACAAAGAATCGATAAGTTTGTGAAATTGCAACTTATTTCAAGACATTTAGCCCAATGTCTTCAACCACTGATCAAGATTATCGAGTAGACCCCAGACGATTAGTCTGCACTTACAGATGCACCTGCTTCGATTTTAGCATCCAGGCATTATCACAACCATCACACATATCAAATGAGATTTGTGTGGCGCATATGTATTTGGTGCCTCCTTGTACCAATGTCTATGTGTTCAAATAAATAATAAAATAAATAAATACCAATGCACCTAAGACCAACAAGAGAGCACCAAATAATATAAATGCGCCACACAAAATTTCATTTGTATGTGACTGTGATACTGCCCGGGTTCCCAGACCGAATTAGGTGGTTTGCTGAGGGGGCCACACCCCGAGCCTTTGACCCAAAGATCTGATCCACAAGGCAGTGGAGCATCGTGAGGAGATGCAGTCCCATGGTAGCCGGTGACCAACGACTGGTTCATACGCCATTTTTCCCTCAGGATACTGGAGCCCATGTGCACCATTGATTTGGGGTCCGGTTAAAGCGCCTGATATTCGCCTTTTGTCCTCTTATTTTCGTAGACAACACCCCCGCCACGAGAAGGCAGTGAGTAGGACTTCCCTGGCAGAGGCTATATACGCGTGGCCATATGAGAGCACTTCGAGAGGGAGAGCGGACTCTCCCCACTCTCGGCCGTACCAGGGCATTTGGGGGCAGCTAAGACCAACAGTCAATGACCTCCTGGACTGGTGCCACATTTTCATTTGGTTGCCCATAGCTTTCTTACAACACAATGCTGCAGTCAGAACTGTATTGAGGAACAAGGCAGATGGATACGCGTGTAACGGCACGTGCATTACTTAGAGTATTAGGCAGTAGCTCCATTTATTATTTTTTAGTTTTCAACGGTTTACTAGTTGATTTGAGTTCGTAAAGAAAATGACCATCAAATTATACGAAATCAAGAAACCACTTGACTTAATATTCAAATTAATAGACGACGCGGTTGCTCAAGATACAGTAGATACAACGAGATTTGAACATGCGGTTTATTGCTTAAAAACTCAGTGTTTTCTGACTAACTACGTGGATCTATCAAAAGACACAATGTTCGAATCCAACAAAATATTTTAAATAGTGGACTTAGCATTGAAAAAAGAAAGTTACTTTTGTGTAAAATATATAGGATTTTAATGTACTTTTATTCTAATAAGGCTACAAATTGGAGGTAACATATATTTATACTCACAAGAATGAGCTAAAGCAAACTTAACTCACGTAAAAAACTGATGAAATGTACTAAGCACAATACTAAATTGCATTTCAATAAATTGTACTGCACTAACCAGACCATTTACGATATCTTCGGTGAGTATGATGTTTGTACATAACAAATAAAAGATGCAGACATTTATAGAGCAACTCACTAGATCCTTTGCAGATTCGCTGATATCATCCCATTCTGGACTAGGAAAAGAGAAACGGCCTTCCATAATCTGGCGCAGCATCAAATGTTCTTTACGATTCCAAAAAGGGGGACAACCTGCTAGCAGAGTATACATAATTACACCACATGCCCAAATATCTACAGGTTGACCATAAGGAGGTTGGTCGTCATAGTAACCACACATCAGGACCTCTGGTGCCAAGTAACCTGGTGTTCCACGAGTTTCTAATAGGTAAAAATTTATTTAAAATTAAACGGTGAGGCTGTATTGCCAACAAGAAGCACTTAGAACTTCGTAACCATACAGCCATAAAATCCAGATAAACATACGATTTTGACAGTGCATTTTAATCTTATGGAGTTAGACCGAGAATTAAGCAAGTTAGCGACAAAGATCTACTGTTCGGGAAATTACTGAGGGGACGTATAAGCACGTTAACATGAGGAGAGGACAAAGTGGAAAATGTTGTTTGTTATTTGACCTAGCCAATTGCTAGATGTATATCTGCAAATATTTTCTGTGGTTCAAGTTTATAAAACCGAATACTAAAAAGGGAGACCTAAGTGAAATAATTGGTATCGGAAAACTCTTAACTAGTAATATATGTACGTTCAATGAGTTGTCAGTAAGGAGCCTCAAATGTTGGCAATAAAACGATGTAAACACTTAAGCGGTAAAGATATCTAGCAATAAGTGAACAAGTGGATGAGCTATAATACAATTTTACGGAAGAATCTTTGTAACACTCGAAGTGTAACTCAAATTTGCAGTACTTATAATCAAAGTGGTGGTTACAGAACAACGATTCATTTCTTTAAAACTAATTTAAATAGTTTTGTGGAGATTTCAAATAAATTGGTACCGACATTAGCTACATGACTGCCGAAAACCAGAATGAAAAGCAGTTGTCTCACAGTAATTTGAGTATCTTCCACTGCCTGTATTAACGGCCTTATATGGGACAAAACTTATGACTTTCCGGTCACAATGTTATTCACCCATGAAGTGTGAAACCGAAAATCCACATCCAGCCAATGAGGTATAGAAACCTGATGGGTGGATATGTATCAGGTTTTACGTTACGCATGACTGACTGACCGGTTGAAACCCAGCCGAAGACTTTACTGCTGGGTTATTCAGATGATACTGTAAATTGAAAAGATAAATCGGTCGGCCTCAAGGAATTGATGAGGATTATATCGAGTTTAGGTTAATGGAGACATCAATCAAACTTGCTGATGAGTTTGAACCTTACAGAGAACATCAGTTTGCTTGGAACTTCAAGTTAGTATTCTAACGAGTGCCGGCTAGTTTTAAACTAGGTCGAGAAATTCTAAGTATCCGAAATAGTCTAACAAATGTCTACCTTGAATGTTGTAGGTGACAAGGATTGAGAGTATTTGAGCATATGCTCGATCGAAATCCAAGAGGGAAATAAGATGGCTTTCTGGAATCCTGTCTTGTATAGAATGATAAAACACGGCAAAACGACTTGTCTCGATAGTCAGTCAAATCCAAAGTTGAACCTCGCATATATGTAAATTGGCTCTAACTATACTGAAGCACTGCTAACTCCATTTACAAACAAATATACTACACGTCAATGGTGGACAAACATAAAAGTTAAGATAAACCTTGAGTAAAATAACATAAGTTTATTTTTCTAGTTAAGAGTTAATAATATGAGACTGTCTAAATTTCAGTAGGTGAGGCGTAGTCTTGAAATAAACATTTAAAGCTAGTTGTTTAACACAATGGAATAAGGATTTACTACAGTAGACTGAACTAGTTATTTTGAGAGCATGAGGTGCTTTTATCCAGATTACATGACGGTTAGCAGGAAGTAGTAAGATTTGCAAACTGTCCCTAAACTGTACGCGACTATCATAATTAAGGTCAGAAGTTAACAACTCGAAGACAATTTGGTAATTTTGACACAATAGCAACTTTCAAAGTGGTAAAAAGTACCTTTAAGCTCTTCTTCATCGTCAACGAATACAGCCAACCCAAAGTCCGTAACTTTAATGTTAAGATTTTCATCAAGAAGAATGTTTTCCGGCTTGAGATCTCGATGGACGATTTGACGCTCATGGATAAAATTAACAGCATCAAACAGCTGCCGCATGATTGCACGAGTACGTTTTTCGGAAATAATGACGTTGTGGGTTAGATAGTCGAAAAGTTCACCACCTTGACAACTAAAGACATGAAAGTGAAAGGTGAAACTTACATTTCTGAGACCAGAAATATGTATGCATCTCCTTCGAAAACATCATGAATTTTTATGATATTGGGGTGATCGACTACTTTTCTAAGAATTGTCACCTCTCGCATACATTCTGAACGTATAACTTCTGAGGTGTCTACACCACTATTAAGATCTAAAATTTTAACAGCGAATTCGGCCTTAGAGTCTTTTTCGATGCAACGTCGCACAGTACTACTGGCTCCAGAACCCAAGACATCACGAACTTCATATTTTGAATAAAAGGAGTCCGCTAAACGGAGATCGGCAACGACACCATCCCTCTCCAAGCAGGTTATTGTCATGTCACTTCCGCTGGCCCGAAGTACGACCGAACCGCAGTAAACAAACGACCGCCAACGAATACAGCTTCATGACATTCGAAAGATTATTTTATTAACGAGAAATTACAAAAAATCATCACATTTTCAAACTACTGATGAAATCTTGCCAAAAATAATCAGAATGTTTTGATGAACAGTGTTTACCAAAGAATTTTAAAGTTGACAAAGTTTTTGATTATTTCGTCCTTGACACTATGATAGAGGCGCAGAGTTTGAGGGGGAATTTGACGTTATTTGAAAATTATTTGCCTCTTTCAATTTGAAGTCAAGTGTTGATCGCTTCTATGTAGCGTTCTTCAACAGACAAAAACCCCTCTTACAGATTATGTCGTATCAAAAATATACGACTCGGATATAATATTCTTCACCTTCGGCTCCCAGTAGGAAATAACAGAATTTGTGATTACCTCAATATTCGTTCTTATTAATATACAGCCCTCCAAGATAAATGTAAAAATACCAAAGATATTCAGAGCTTGACAGCGCCTTTACGCATAATACCTAAATAATCGAGAGATACCAACCCAGTCAAATCACAAGTCAGTGATGAAAGGGTTGGAAGACATGTTTGAAAATTTATCGATATGTCAAGTAATGCTTGATCTCAGCTGGCTAGTAGCGGAAAGGGATGCATAACTCGGAGTACCCTCTTGTAACGTGGTGCGGATATGTGATGGAGCACTCTCAGCTGGGGTGAGTCCAATGAGACTTAGGAGGTCAGCATCAATGCTGGTAATGTAAGTGCTTGATGCTGGTGCCGAACACATCAGTCCCAATAGTCACCGGTAGCTGCATGTATGTATGTGTCTAGGTTGGATGAGTGTGAGTTGATCAGTAACCTCCTATAAAGATTAAAACATCGTAGATAAGATGGTTACTGACAACCAAATTTCGTGTCAGCGTTATATTTTCTCTTGTTCGATGCTGAATTCTGAAAGGCCATTGTGTTTAAAATCGGACATTGTATTCCACGTGTTCCAGGAATTATGTAACCAACCTATGATAATCACTTCCAAGTATTTCAAATACGAGTAAATGCACGTCAAAGGTGAGCCCTGTTACGAGAGAACTGAGGACATTTGGCTGATTAAAACCTTTTTATCGTATATTAATAATTTTACTGTTTTTTGGATGTATTTGTTCTACTCAACTTTTGAACTTGTTTGTTTATATCATTATTTTCAGACATTTTGGTTTCTTTTGTCTTTGGTTTGATATTTGGGAGTTTTTACTCCAAGAACCTACAAAACTGAAGGTTTGTTTTGTAACTGCTATGATTATTGTTGTTGGAACGACATTTGGGTCGACTATTTGTAAATTGCAAATAGACCTTGGTACCTAAATTAGAGTTTGGTTCTATTGTTAATTTGGGTTCGTAAATTGCAAATAGATCGATATACCGTACTTCAATAACGGGAACGAGCAAAGACTTGGACGTAACAGCCCTTCTTTTAAATGCAAAGTTTGTGTTTTTACGCTCATGCAATGATTGGAAGTATTCAAATACTGTGCGAACTAGGAATTCCCGAAATAACGTGATTTAAGTTAGGTAAAACTAAGTGAGCACAGACGAGCGTATTGTATTTTGAATTCAAAATCAGGGACACAGCAAGTGCAAAAGAATCAATCGTTTATACAAACACCACAGACCACCAGCCGTTTAACTTTCTGGTAGATTAGCAAGATTGTCTTCTTTGCCATTGGCATAAAATATATTTTTGTGGAAAATTTTAGGGTTAGGTTTGTTTCTCACCCCTTTATACTTCTTCAAGATACTTGTTACATGCTAATAAATATCTAATTTAATGCAAATTGAGAACCAGAAAGGTAGGTATAATTTTAATCTTTATAGATAGACACTGTTATAACTACAAAAATCCAACTCCAAAAATTTGAACTTGGTGGTCTTGATTTTTGATCTGCTCAATCAGAGCATAACTTCGCGAGGCCCGATATTAAGTCTGAGGGAATTCGAAACCAAGATTTATGTCCTGTAACCCCTTCTTCATTTTCTAAAGAAGTTCGCAGCTTAATTGGGAGTCCTGAGAATTTGTGACGGCATACCATTTTGAAGCGTGAGATTATGATCTTGTTGATCTACAGTCTGCTTCACTATTAGTATTATTATAATAATAGATCTGATCATAAAACTGTAGATATTACGCGATTCGACGGCCTAATCTATAAGATCTTACGTGGACGCCACATCACTCTGTATTCTGACTCGTCATATAGTAATAAATCTCGATGTGATTGATGTTTATTGAGAATATATTTGAGTTAAAGATGGAATAATGTATTTTATGTGAGTGAAGATAAGTTGTAAAGAATGACCTCGCCTGAAAGGCTGAGCCATACCATCAGATTTGAGTGAATGGAGTGTTCCCATGTTCTCTGTTGTTAACCTCTTCGTGTTAACTGTTGAACATAAATCTTTTCAGTAGTATACCGTGCCTCAATGGTCGTGTGGTTAGGGTCTAATGTCACTACAAGTTGTCCCATCTTATCAGACAATTTAATAATCCAAATGATTTCCTGAGAGAGGGTGTAAATTAATTAGTCACTGTTACAGTTCTTAATTCGTCTCCAAGTCCTGATTGATGACAGCACATTCGTAATTCACACATATCACTGACCAATCACAAATGAATTTAAAACTACGGCCGGTACGTATTCTAATCCAGAGACTTGACACCCCTACTTCGTGTAGAAGTTTAGCAGTGATACACAAGTCAAAAGTAATAACGGTCAGGTAGTGGATGAATTATCTTGACCAAAAGTAAAGATAATATATCAACTGACTACAAACATTCAAGTGTAGCGGTAAATAATTCCCCAAAATCAAATAGCTCTGTAAGTTTTCGACATTGGATGCTGACCATAGTTTTAGTGGACTCATCTAGCTGAAGGCGCTCGGTCAAGCATCCGCACCAGATCACGTGTGGGAACGCCGTGCTCAACATCTGCCTCAATCGCTAGCCAGATTAGTGCCAACGATCCTCGATATATTGATAGCTTATCAAATATATCTTCGATCTCCTCGCTTCTGTCTTTTGATTTTACTTGGTGGGTGCGCTTCGTATTAGAAGGTGTTACTGGTTAAAGCGTTGTCAAACTCCGAATACCTGTGGCATCTTCATTGGTGAGCCCGACGTGATCTGGTACACCATATTGTAAACTGTGAGTCTGTTCCTTTTTATGATTTCATATATCATTGTCTTATTTTAATTTCTTTTTTTTTACATTGTGATATTTTTTTTCCGTGTTTTTGGGTTCATATATATATTTGCCACTCGTTCACCTTTCGTACTTGGTATATTACTATGACTGAACAGACACCTAAAGTATTCAAGTTAAATACTGTGTCCCCACCCTCTTTCCAACTTATGCCTTTCTGGCCAGACAACATCGAAGCCTGGTTTTGTTATGCAGAAGCCGACTTCTACGAGCACGGTGTGAACGATGTGCGTGCACAATTCCTCGCAGTAGTCAAGGCACTACCGCGCGAATTCAACAGGTACGTAACACCTAGTATGTTTACTAGTGATGTTGCTGATCCATACCAAACACTGAAACAGGCCATCCTTAAACGCGGAGATCTAACCGATCGACAAAGGTTAGACCAACTCCTTAACAACATCGACCTGCAACACGGTTCTGCCACAGACATGTTGCAAAGAATGCGAGAAGTCATTGGTCAAAGAACCTTCGATGACGGCCTATTCAAGCAACTTTTCTTATCCAAACTTCCTCAACAGGTGCAAGCTGTTTTGGTCTCGTTCCAAAACAACGCCGTAGACGAACTGGCGGCATCTGCCGATCGCATTCTCGAGATCACTAGGTCTCCTAACGCCGAGGTTTTTTCAGTCAAAGAAAAGCCTCAAACGACCCAGAATGACATAACACAGTTGTGTCATACACTCACGCGCTATCTCAAACTCGGTAACGACCGCAAACGATCACTTACTCCGCGGAGAAGCACATCACGTAGGCGATCCGTATCTAGAACTCGAGAGACAGATAATCCTGATTGGTGCTGGTACCATAACCAGTACGGAAAGTCTGCCAGAAATTGTAGAAAACCCTGCAATTTCCCCAATGCGAAATCCGTCGACGCGAAGAACGCTTCGGGAAACTTCCAAGCCGGCACGCGTTAACGGCGACCGTAGCCGGCGAACATAGTCGTCTTTTATATGTCACTGATATGATAACGAGAGTTCGCTACCTCGTAGATACTGGCGCAGAGGTTAGCGTTCTCCCGGCGAATTCCAACGACAGGCTACACGAGCCTGTTTTAAATCTACAGGCGGCAGACGGAAAGCCTATCGCTACTTATGGCCAAAGGTATGTTTATCTTAACGTGGGTTTACGCAAATCCATTCACTGGATTTTTGTTGTTGCAGATGTTTCTATGCCAATCATTGGTATGGACCTTCTACAACACCACAACTTAATTATCGATACGCGCAAACGGAGGTTAGTTGACGGAAACACTAATTTATCTGTTTGCCTGACTTCTTTTTCTGGTTGCAGGTTATCCCCAGTCACTATTAAGCACACTATAGACCCCTTCTACCAACCACTACTCGATAAATATTCTGGCATTTACCAATCGCAACCGAAATTGCCGTGTGTAACCAGCAATGTTACACATCACATCACGACTACAGGACCACCTGTATTCTCGAAAGCACGCCGACTGGCCCCCGAAAAGTTAAGGTTGGCGAAAAACGAATTCGACCATATGATAAACTTAGGGATCATACGACCGTCAAATAGCCCATGGGCATCTCCGTTGCACATGGTCCCTAAAAAGGACAGCAACGATTGGCGTCCAACTGGTGACTATCGGAGATTGAATGCAAACACCATTCCCGATCGTTACCCGTTGCCCCACATTCACGATTTGACAGCTACCTTGAAAGGTGCAACTGTCTTTTCAAAAATTGACTTGGTAAAAGCTTATAACCAAATTCCTATGGCCACTGAAGACATTTCAAAAACCGCTATTATAACGCCCTTCGGACTCTATGAATTTTTGCGAATGCATTTCGGTCTGAGAAACGCGGCACAGACTTTCCAAAGGTTCATAGATGACGTTTTTCGAGGTCTCAACTTCGTACATGCATACGTT